GCTTGGGAAAGAGAGAGACAACAAATAATTATTTAATATCATTTATATAAAAGTTTACTTCGTAAATCGATTAGTCGTGAGTGTCATCAAATTTTTTAAATTAGCACACGGTGTACTCATAAAATCTGTTATTGACTATCACACTTTTATCTTCGCAGTTAATCTACCCTTCCTCGACTCTTTAGCACGTCAACAAATCGATTCCAATCAACAGCGTGTCGCGATAATAGATGCCGAGAAATGATTGTTTCCGAAGAGGGTCCTCTGTACAAATCAAAGTCTAATTATTATTTTCATAACTTTGTTGTCGATTATCACCCTCTCTTTTGTCTCTCTTAATCTCTTTATCCTTTTTAACATATAATACTAGGTCAGTTTTTGACGAACAGGAAGACCGACTATTCGTTCCGCGATGGAAGCCGCCGTGAAATAGTTGTTCTCGCAAATAAAAAATTCTCCCATTATAACCATTATCATTTTTATTAACGGAAAATAGATTTATGTAAACGCAGTATAAAGGAATGTTTTTTTTTTTTTTTTTAAGAAAAGAGTGGAAGAAGAAATCTTTGATTATTAGAAATACATTAAGCGAATTAAATCTATAATATACGTATTTATGATTTACTGCTGACTGTTGCCTTTCTCTCTACAATCAGTCAATTAGCGCGATTCGTCTTAGACCATGGATTTGGCAAACAGAAAAGTCGACCATGCGCATGATCTCCGATAAGAGATATTTATCGGTTAATCTTGTTATTTTTAAGTATGAACAAGTTTCTCGAATATCGTTTATATTCCATTACAAATGTTGGAGCAAAACTGCCGACGAGATATTATTTTAGCGGTCTGACTTGAATAATTAACAAACATATATAGACAAATGGGTAGCTCTTCCCCTACGTATATGTCTTCTGGAGGCAACTGGCGCGAAATCAGTGCTCCCCTCAGATAGAAGCGCGGAAGACACAAACTCGTAACGCTCGGAATGGACTTTGAGCGGTCAAAGATTGTCCCGAGACGATATACACGAGAGGTACTCTCCTTCGGTGGTGGTGGCTGTAGATAAATGTCAATCGTCCTGCTGGGGACGTCGCTCGGTCGTCAGTTTGAGAATAGAGCCGGACACAGAAAGGAGCAGCTGGAAGACAAAAAGAAAAAACAGATCGTGAAAAATGGCTTTTACTATGTCAACGGATCCACCCGGGCCGGAAGCCCGGGCCCTGGCCGAGAAGGAGCTCAGGGAAACTGAGGAGAACGTGAAGAAAGGCATTGAAACTCTGAGGAAATATCTCGAAGGTTGGTGAACTCGTCATTTTTTCGCAATTTAAATCTGAAGCACGTAACACTTATTCGAGTATTTCTATTTCTAATTTGCGAAGTCTTCGTGTTTCTTTTTTTTTGCTCTTTTACTATCAAAATATTGTTTAGCCTCTTTTGTCGTACGTATTCCATGTTACTCCTGAGGAGAATACGCATCTTCGTACATCGTTACTAAAATTTGCTCCTTAGAAAATAAATTCTTCTACGAGGTATTCGAGTCTTTCTATTCTATATTTATTTATTTATATTTTTTCTAATTAATTTAATTTTTTATTACGCTTTTATAAAGGTTCACATAGTTATAATGATCTTATAATTATTCAGATAATTAAAATGTTTTTATAATCTAATAGTTGTAAGATTTCGCTGTATTTTAAAGATATTAGTTCAGAAGAATCTCTCATAGAAAATATCATTTAGCAGATATTTCACCCAATAGTTTTTTAAAGAAAAAGACAACTAATAAAAAATTTCATTATATGCATTTTCTACTGGCAAATATATTATTTTAGAATATTTCATGATATATGTACAATATATTCCATAATTCGCGACTTTAATTTTTACAATTACGATATTCTTTATTGAATTTTAAGTCAATCTTTTCTTACAATTGGCAAAAGTAGTTTCCGAGTTATAATTATTGAAAAGGAAAGTCCCTTTGCAAACTAACAAATAATAAAAATTTATTACTTGGCTAATTTCTTTCGCGCGAGTGAACTTTTCTTCGGAATTTATTTAGAAACTTAGTTGGACATTTGTTGCTTCCAATTAAAAGTGCGATAATATGTGGAAGACAACTGTAAATTTAATATAAGAAATGGAATAAACATTTTCGAGCTCCATTCACCGTCAGTAAATCATATAATTTGCTGCGAATTTTATCTCCGAACGAAAGATTAGCCTTTTGCGGCTCTATTCTCGAATCGTTTTCATGAAACTCGCATGCGAAATTCAATGTTTTTTCAAATAGAAAGTCGCATACGAAAATCATTAGGGCAGGCTCGAGAATACGGCCCTTGAGCTTAGAAATTTACTTGAGATACAAATACTACTATTTTAAGAGTTACAATGGATCGACTCGTATTGGTAGGATATCGAGATACAAACTTATCGAAACTGATATAATAAGAACGGTCATTCGCGTATTCTGAGAATTATGAATAGACTTATTTATTGTTAGCTTTGCACAATAAATATAAGTTATCTCGAAAATTATAGAATTTGATGCGGACTCGTGCGTCTGGAAAATTTCACGTATCACCAAAGATTAGCATTATCACGTTATTACATGTCTTCTTTATAAATTGTATGACGATTATCCATTATCGCGTTTGTCTGAGTTATTTCGACTAACAAGTAAGTGATAAATATACGGCTATTAAATTAAAGAAGAAATATATATATATTTTTTGCGATAGCGCACGTCTGTTTTTAGTAAAGAAAGAATCTATCACGCGGACAGCCACATAGAGTATTCTTTCATATGCAAACGAAACAAGTCGTGTTCAGGGATTAAGAGTTTTCTTAATTTATTAATGCCACTTAAACAAAAATTATTATCGAGACCGTTTGAACGTCAGAAGCTGAATGGAGCTGCCTGAATAGATGTATTGATAATGTTGAGGTCAGCTCTGTGACACTCTGATAATCTCGTTTCCTTTTATCTTTCCTCGCTGCAAACGCGTGCACAGCAACGGGGCCCGACTCATCTTCTCGGAATTAAAATCGAACTTCTTAAACCTTAAACCGTGACGTCGACTCTTAAAATTGCTACTACACTTCACATCGTTACAAAACATGGAGCTTCGAGCGCCGACCGTCGCAAAACATCTCAAAGTCTAATCGTCTGTAGCCTTCTGTTAATCGGGAGAGAAATGAGAAGTAATTATTAATTTTAATTTTATATGTGAAAATGAATGAAATATGCAGTGTTGTTCGCTACGCAACACGTTTTTTGCGACAAATTTTTGAATATTTAAGAGCAAATGAATGCATACTCGTTTTACGTAACTTAATTTGTAGTCCAACGTAAAGCCGTTTGTAAACGTCACGCACTATAAAAACAATCTATGGCGACAGGAATGTGTATTAGGAGATACGGTTAAGGAATACGTTTTCTTGTTGTAAGTGTCTACACACGCGCGTTGCGCGATAAGGACATATTGGACGATAAAAAAAATCTTTTGACTCATCTTTTGATAAAGCGATCGATGAAGTCAAGTGCACCTTGACCCCCGGGCATGTGAAACAATAGTAGGTGCACACGTGATATCGCGCCGTTTGAGGACTTTTCAATAAGTCAGTAGATCTGATTCCCGCGAAGACACCTTTGGGGACACTTGACGCTTGTTTTCCAAAATAAATGTATATCTCGATGTTACACGGAGTCGCATATCGAGACATTGAACTCCGGAGGCGCGTAACGCTTATATCGCGTAATAAAATCGCGGTGATTATACAATCCCCGCAGCGATAAGCTAACTGTCGCCCGGTTTTATTCGGCAATTCGGCAACTCTTCGTATCTGTCGCTATGCGGATAAAAATTATAGGCTTCGAGAGCGCGCGTTTATCATCGCGGATGTCGTCCGCAAATCGTTTTCGGTCGCGCCGTCCCTTATCCGTTTTCGTTGATCGGGATTGCGCATTCGTGTGCACGAGCATCTGGTTTAAACTTGAAATGAAGAATGAATGGCGACCCTCGTGTGCAATTTCCCTAATAAGGAGCACAGAGGTGATTACTTTAAGAATAGGCATCGTGACCTCGCACGCAAAGTTACCCCGACGCGATCTGGTGGCTTTTATGCCATGAAAACGAGCGTGCGACGATCGGCGAAGGCTAAAATTAGCGTTTTTTTTTTATATACTGTTTGCGCACTGAATGATTAATAATTACGAATCAAACTCGCCGATTGCTTCGTTCTCGATCGTTTATTTTTATTCGAAGGTCCGCCGCATTGCAACTTTTGTTGATTGTGATGACACACGCGACTTGACTGTGTACCTTGATCGAAAAGCACACTATACGACAACGTGACGGTACGATACAAAGTCCGATAATTCTGACAGATAACAGGAATGGATCAGCTGGCGATGAATCATTAGTCGTCATTATTGTTGCAAGAAGATGCGCGCGTATACCGGCTATTCATATCGGCCACGTGCGCAAGATTGCTGCGTTAGTATCGCTAAAAATGAAAAATATCTAATTTAGTTCATTATTAATAAAAAATTAACTAATTTTATGGATAGAGTGACATGGATGACATGGAAAAAGTTATCTTTTTAAAAAGAGGTCCGAAAAAAGCGCCAAGTACAGGCGCTTGTCTATCTACAAAAAATATGACCTTAGAAAATGGCATTAAGTAGGAATAAATCTTTGAAAAAAAGATGCATATTTTTGAATAATCAAAATAAAAAAAATATTTAATGTAAAAAAACTTGACGCTGCTACACCTCAACATATTAAAAAAACAATTAAAATGTGTTTTATGTGTAAAATGGACATAATAATATGTTTTAATATTAAATATATAACAAATAATATATTAATATATTATACAAATTTAAGTTACTCGATGTAGCAGCGCTAAGTTTTTTGCATTGAATGTTTCTTGGATATGTCTTTGTATCCTTTGCGTTATTTTTACGTTCATACGCACCATCGATGTTGTCAAAGTAAGCAAAATCACGAATCTTTATGTTTCAGAGGACAAAACACTCTATTATAGTACCGATGATGATTTCCTCATGATCTTCCTCCGGCCTTGCAAATTTTATCCGGAGAGCGCGCTGGAGCTAATGAGACGCATCGCGGACTTCAAGGTGAAACATGCGGTTCTGCTGGACAATTTGTTGCCGAGCGACGAAAAAGAGGCCTTCACCGAGCACAATATCGTTAACGTATTGAAAGACAGAGATCACAAAAATCGCAGGGTGATGGTAGTGAATTCCGGCAAAGCCTGGAATCCATCAAAAGTCACCTGCGACCAGATATTTCGTATGTTCTATTTGATACACGAGTTGGCCATGCAGGAACCGGAGACGCAGGTACGAGTGAAATATCATTATTCGCAAAAACTATAAAATAATTTTTAGATAATTTGCTTCAGATATAAATGTAAATATGTTACAATATTAAGAAATGTGAAAGAAGCTTAAATTAGACATTCTTTCTTAAACTTTTGCATATATACAGGGTCTTCGTATACTGTGAATCATTGTGTACTACAAAAGTATAAATTAGCTATAAACACGTATACACGTATACGTATATATAATCATCGAGCTGAACGTGCGATAATCCACGATCAGCAAAATTCCATTAACTTGACTGCGCAAGAAAGAAACATAAATTTTCGCGATCAATGCCAGAGAAAACGAAAACTTTAAACGGTATTGATATACTATTATTTGTAATTATAAAATCAAATTTTACGTACGAGCACGTACACGCACTGTTAAATTCGTAGTGTCAGATTATACACAATTTGATATACTCATTTTTTTAACCGTTTCTATTTTTAACCATAGGTCACTCTACTGCTCTTACTCAATACGTTAATTTAACTGAAACAATGTTAGTTTAATTAAACCAATGCATGGAAAGTCAAAATAATACTGTTTTGTGTTGAAATAAAAAATTTCGATACACATGGTAGTTGAAAATAACAAAATGTTATTCAACTCCAAGTATTGGTTTAAACTTTAGTCTTTAACAGTGCGTTAGTTAAATTTAGTTAGTAACTATTTTAACTATTAGTAGTAATAACTATTTTAACAAAGTTAAGCGTCAAACCTAATTTTGATGGATGTAAGCGCGAGTCAGGCATGATTGCACTTTGTTCGCTTGATAAGAGATCCGATGAATAATCTAATATCAAAATACAAGAGAGAAAGAGAAAAGGGAGAAAGAGGGAGAGAATATTAAACTTTTTCTCGTCAAAATAAAATATGTCGGAAATATTAATTAACATTTTAGAATAGTTTTGTTAATAATTTAATTACAAGCGTTTTTATTCTTTTTCCTAGATATACGGCACGGTGGTGATAATGGATTTCGATGGACTCTCCATGAAACAAGTCACGGGAATGACGCCATCCTTCTGCATGAGACTTCTTAGTTTTATTCAGGACGCGATGCCACTGCGTTTAAAAGAGGTTCGTATTAATGGTATATCAAATAAAATTGCTTCACAAAATTACATTGAGAAAAAAAGAAGTTACCTGCCATGCTTTTACGTCCTGCAATATACTTGGATCGAATATCGATGAGAATAAATATTATCTACTTGCTCTTTCTTTGTGGCTCATGTGATAGTAATTATTTTGTGTATTTTCGAAATTCGAAATTATATAAATATATTGTATATTTCTAATTACATAAATATTTTGCACATTCTAATTGTACTCGATGTTCCTTCAGGTTCACTTTGTGAAACAGCCGTTCTTGTTTAACATGGTGTGGCAAATGTTCAAACCGTTCGTCCGGGAAAAATTGAAAAAACGCATGTTCTTCCACGGCACCAAGATGTCTGCGCTCCACGCGCACATCCCACCGAGTCATCTGCCGAAAAACTACGATGGTGAACTGCCAGAAATAGATTACAGCGGTGCCGATTGGTATCCAGTGATGGTTGCTAACGAAAATAAAGTTAGAGGTATAAAATAAATCGACATAAAGAAATGTCTATACATTTATAAAGTCCTTATGCAGCTTTAAATTTTCATAACGTTCTAAAACTGGGTCTACACTATACACATATAACAAAACACGTTATATAGCAAAGTTATACAACTTGTTACAAAAAGAGAAGAAAAAAATGTTATATAACATGATGTTATTAATTTTTTCGTGTTATATAGCAAGTTATATACTTATATGTTATCCATCAGTTGTTGGTAAAGGTCAAAGGAAGTTATAAATCTTTCCTATATAACATATTTTAGTCAGTTCACACTTGAAACTTGTTGTAAAACATCCATTTGATTTTATTCAGAAGTTCAGTCTTGTTCTCTTACTGCATCTCAAAATGTTGCGTCCTTCCTACCTATCTTATGGCCGATTTTGTTTATGAGGTGTTCAAAATCAGAACTTGTCATCCTTGCAAAGTTTCTGAAACTACCGTCACATCGAACTTCTCCCATCAATAGATCTCTATCATCTCTTTCAAGATCTGCTAGAGAAGGATTGTACCAATATATTTTTTCGAGCTTCTGATGGTCGCACCCAGAATCGCCTTTTAGTCCTAATATGTTGTCCAGTCAAAATTACACAAGCTGCTGTTGCGAGACTTGCATCCTCTACGTTTGATGTCATTATCAATAGAGATGTGAAAAATGTTTTACAACTTGTTACTAAAATTATTTTTACAAAAATAGTGTTATCCAGTAACAAGTTATATGACAAGTTGTACAACAATGCTGTACAACATGTTAAAAACAAATTTGTTATATAACGATGTTTTGTTATATAGCGTAGACCCAGCTTTATAAGATTAATCTACAAAAATAGATTATTGGAAGAATTTATTTTAAAGAGTTTTACATACATTTATTTCAGACTGTTATTTCTCAATATATTTATTAGGTATATCGAAATACGATTCTGCAATTTTATATACATACGTTTTGTAGTTGATTGACAATAATATGTCGAATCACGTTAGATCATTTAAAGATCGTCTAAAGAGCAAAATTTTGTTGGATAAACAATAGTCTCAACGTGTTTTCATAGAAAGAAATCTAATGAACTCAAATCTGGTAAATGTGATGACCATGGGATTGATTCACCTTTTCTAAATTATTTTTTAGAAGAATTTGTATAAATAGATCACTCAAAATATGCATATTAAACTTTGCTAAAATGCAATTTTAATATTATTTACAAATTAAGTTTGTTATGTGTAAAACGGAAGTATTATAAAAGTTTAAAACTGCATCACACATTCACACATACACACATACACACAATTAATATTTATCTGTTTATTTTACAGAGTGGAACACTTATGGACGTCGCAAGAATTAATAAACTGAACTTTCATGAGATAGTTGCTGTAGATATTGTTAAATATGTTTCTTCGCAATTTAAATAGATTCTAAACTATGGACAATTTAACGTATTGAGTATATGATATTTAAAACGTAATACAACATATTTTATATATGAACAACTATTTTTTAAACAAAATTGTATTTTGTATTTGTGTGTATAGTCCTGTTAATAATAAAAAAATTGATAACAATAAATGTAGTGCGAATTACAATAATAATATTCAACGAATATTAATTAATTCATGATTTATAGATTTGAAACTTTGAATTATGATTACATTGAATTTTATTACGATGACTGAAGTACAAATATTTTATAGATATTGTAGAGTTTTTATATGCATAAAAATAAACATTATTACTTTTATCCTTTCTAAATAACTCTTAACCCTTTTATTCCCAAATTATTTAACTACAAAAATTTGTTTGTATTTTTATGTATATTACGTGACAAATGAGCGAATTCTGAAAATATTTTGACATTTTAAAATGTTAATTTTGAAAATGTATAGTAAAAACTTTTCCACGTGTTACCAATGAATATTATATATTCACAGATATAGAATGGAAATATAGAGATCATACAGTAATATTTTATTTTATAATTCATAATATCCACTACAGTATGGGAACGGATTGATACAAGAATAAAGCTATTAATTATCTTATATGCAAATTCGTATTTAAAAGCTAAAATAAGTACACTCTTTAGCATTGTATAATATTAAATTAATATAAAGAGGTTCGAAAGCCGCGTATAATGTGAAGTACCTAAACTCTCGATCCAGATAACGAAATCTGTCAAGAACAGATTTTAGAAGTGCCTGCTGCAAATTTTGTCGATAAAATATCAGCAGAAAAATATAACAGAATTTGCTAACAGAACATAATAGCAGATTGACTGCGGAAATTGAACAAAATCTGCTATTTCGTAACCATTTAAATAGTGTATTTCTTAAAATGTTTACAAAATAATAAATTCTGCTCGGTTTCTACCGACAAGTTGCTGTCAGATTATATCGTTGTTACGCTCTGCCGGCAAAACACGAATTTAATGCAGACACAGATAATATCAGATTTGTTGCGATATTTGAGCAAATCTGCTGTCAATCTGTTGTTATACTGCAGGAAAAGTTTGCTTTCTGGGTTTTTGTGGGATTCAATTATTCACTATTTATACATAAATAGTCAATGTTGAAAATTATTGAGGGTTCTTTTTTAACCTTATAACTTATTTAATTTTATCAAGTATCTAATAGCATTATAAATTGTTTGAGCTAGTATAGTAGACTCCCGTATAACGCATACTTATATATACGACGATTTATTCTTATAACGTTTGTGTGTGTGTGTGTTCCAACCCACAATTACGTGGTGAATTATCTCCGTACTACATGGTTCTTTTCTAAACTGTGGTTTAGTACATTCAATTTATTATTGTGGTAATGGCAATTATTTTGGACTCTTGTGGTAAGATTATTCCTGTAATATGGAATTATTTTGTTGATAATTTCATTAAATTTAAAATTTTATAACGTTATACATATATATATAATGGCTCGTTAATACTAACAAGACTTTGTTTGCTATAATTTATAAAATTTTTAAGCTTTTTTGCGTTAAAACGATTCGAAATAAGAAATAATTAGCTACTGTTAAATTATATTATATTTTTCTATAATAAAGAACGTATTCTTACGTTTTCTACTGAAAATAAATCTCGTACAACGCAGATTTTTATAGTACGAAATGCGTTCTAAGTTTCTAAGCGTTATATAGTTTTTACATTTGGTTTTACTTGCTTAGCTCTTTATTAAAACGTCACGTGTACGATTGTAACTTATTTCGATCGTAACTTCCTTCGATTGTAACTTACTTCAATAGTAACTTCCTTCGATTGTAACTTACTTCGATCTACTTGTTTCGTAATCTACAGTTCTACATATTCGCAGTAAGCGGAAGTACTTACCTCATTATATAAATGCGATCAATTCTTGCACGTAAGAGATTTATAAATACGATTTCCATGTGATTATGATGAATATAATATCGTGATGAAATCATGATACTGTGCTTATGCGTAATGTATACAGGGTGTCCCATTTTACTTTTTACGCAATTACCTTCGGAACTATTTGTTATTCGAAAACATTTCAAATAGAACTTACTCTGTTTCGAGGACATTCCATTACGAACATAAGACTTGTCTAACAATAAGTGGAGATACCTCCAAGATTTCAAAGTGACCTTTGTTTTTTTTTTTTAATGGTTCCCACTGCTTTTTATTTTATCATCTTTTTCTGTTAATCAATTTGAACAATTTACGTTCGAAAGATTTTTTATTTGCTCAATATTTTTTGAAATATTCAGGGAAAATTCGGTAAATTTTTCAATATTTAGCTTTCACTATATATATTTCAATAATTGCTTGTCGGAAGGAAAAGTGGCACAAGACTTTTTTGACTGATTTCGTTTCAAAAATATGCTGTTGCAATAGTGCCCGAAAATAAAATGTTGTGTAAATTATATTACAACATACATACAGTACCGATCAAAAGTATCGCTTATTGAAAAGAAGTCGTTAAGTACTTTTATAAAGAAAGACGTACATAAATGTTATGAAATATTATTCCAGTACTGTTATTTTAGCTTGATAGAAATACTTTGGGAGGAGGAAAAAAAAACAAAGATTTTAATGATTTAATTGCATTGTTTCATATCGTCGACAATAACATGACGATAACACGAAATATAAATAAATGTTATCAAATTTTATTTTAGTACTGTTATTTTATGCTTTGATAGGAATATTTTGAGAAAAAGATAAAGATCTTAATGATTTAATTGACGTCGAATAATTATCATTGACGATAATTGTTCAATTATATTATTAAGATCTTGTTTCTCTTCTCAAAGTTCTATCAAAACATAAAATAACGGTATTAAGATAAAATTTTATAACATTTATGTACATCTTTCTTCATTAAAGTAACAAATTCCCTCTCCATAAGTGATGCAATACTTTTAACTTTTACTTTAAAAGTTGAGGCAAACAAATAGTTCCGGAGATAATTGCGCGGAAAGATTAAAATGGGACATCCTGTATACGGCACGATAAATAGAGTACAAATGTTTCTTATGTTTTATAAAGAATTTTAACAGAGTTACTGTGATTTGAAGATCTACTACTCATATCGCACTCAAACGTTAAAACATTGTCAACGTCCGGTCAAAGAGGGCAGTTTGTTGATTAAAATTCGCGATTTGGCCTATAGACCTCTATCAATATTCTATTGTATCTATTAATTTATTAATGCTCTATGTTGTTATGTAATATAATCGTATAATGTTGTAATAAATTCCAGATACGGTTACAAAGGCTGTTCGCTTATTCGCGTATTCGGCACATTTGCTTGGTCATCAATAATTCCGATCGAAATCCATTCCGAAAAGTTCCATAATGACTCGAAATTATCTAGCGGTCCGACAATCCGAATATCAAGATCATTCACGCCTGGGAATAACTTGCAAACAGTTCGAAACACTATATTTAAGTGAAGGAGATATAACTCCCGATATCCGCAGTCGCGACCTCCGTTGCTTTATATTTTTCCGCGACTACGCCGTTTCCTAGAGCGCAGCAAAATATTTTAACCTTTGAACATAAAAATTTCTTCCTCATTTTTCTCTTTCCCGGTGTCGCGCGTTCTCCGTTTCAATCAAATCTCGTAATATGTAGATTCTGTGGATTTGTATGCTCATTTTCTTGCGCGATGATTCAAATTCTTTTCTTTGTTCTACAACCGCAAATAAATTACCATTTTCTTGCTAAAAATAGATATCGTAGGCGCAATCATTACTCGATCTTTGCGAACATATTTCATTTTTCATATCAATCTCTTTAACGGACTTGCTCGAAATAAAATCTTGTACATAGACAATCAAGTTACTGTTACGTGTTACAAGAAAAAAAGAAGAACTAAAATGAAGAAATATTCGTACGCTTGGCGCGAGATTCTATACCGTGTCTCTCGGAACGAACACCATTTTTCCTGGAATTGTCTGCAATTCTTGTTCCGGATGTTACAAATTAATCTGTATAATCACGTAATTTTATTCCGCTCGAAACTCAAAACTTACAATTAAATATTTCCATTTCAAAACATCACGATCACGCGATTCCTTCGATTCTGCATCTTGTTCCTCACATCTTTGTAATTTTCCGTGTTATTTAAGCAGCGAAGTTTTTTTCAAAGTGCATCTTAGTGTAGCACATGTATGATTGTACACGAATGATTGCACGTTTTGCAACGTCACACGCACGTGTAAAGGTGGGGAAGACCTGTGGCTTTGAAATAATTCTGACTGGGATTATTTCGACGCAGTTCCCATCGGCCGGCGCGGCGATTCGCGCACAGCGTTACTGACCCTCTTTCCTCCCAGGAAAGGTGGTCTTTCCTTTTCTCTCTGCCTTCTGGGATTCGCTCGCGCGTCATTCGCGACGAGTCGAGGGAGCGATAAAGACCGGTGAATCAACACACTCGGTTCTACAGTCATCGCGGCGCTCGTGCCTGTTTTTGATGATAATATTCGCAAATCTCGGTGTGGGTGAATCGAAGTTTCGGTGATGAGAGACACACAGTTCTGTAACACGTGAAAATTGTTTCGAGAATAAGGGTGTGCGCGACTCTGAGGATTGGTGCGCGACCGAGATCTCTGCGAGATCGTTGAGGTAATATATTCTGGTGAGTATTCGCATTTTTTTACACTTTGTTGATAATTCCTGCACGCCTTTTGCTAAATGATAAGTATTTAAGTATGTCGATCGGAAATATATGCGTTTGTCATAATATCATTAATATACGCTGTTAAAAGTAAAAAATAAAATTTAAACCAATATCTTATAAATTTATTTTTAACTACTATGTGTCAAAATTTATTATTTTAATAAAAAACATAATTATTTTAACTCCATCGGTATAGTTAAATTAAAATTGTTTTAGTTAAATTAACAACATATTAAGTAAGAACATAATAACACTGCGCGGACATCATGTTTTTGTAGCACTCACTGGGACACCCTGGGATTTTTAAGTCTAAAAGGTTTTTGAAAGCGTTTCTGTGTTACAAAAAATTCGTATTATTAAAAATTCATGTATCATCTTTAAGGTTTCAAAAAGTGATTTCTATACTTACACAAGGCCGAAACTGTTGTAATTTTTTTTAACTATAGGTATGGTTAAAAATGACATGAATTGTGTGTAATTTGACACTACAAATTTAACACTGTACCTTCTTTTTTTGTTCGCTGCAATAATTAAGAGAGGTACTTGCTTCTTGATACAGTTGAAGGAGTTATTACCGGAGTATTATTTGTTGAGAAATAAGGATTACGTTATGCATTTATAACTTTTCGACGATGAATTGAAACAGATGCGTGGCTAATCACTTATCTAAGTATATTTTATTTTTAATATAATTAATCTCTTTGTGATATTAAAAAGCGAAATCTGTAGAAGTAATAAAAATAAAAAAAATTTAAATAATAGTAAAAAATTTAGAAAATCGAATACATATATAATATATGTAATATAATAAATTGAAACTCATGTTGCAATAGTAACTACGGTTACGCTGGAAAAATATAATTATAAATAATTCAAATTTTGTTCATTAAAGTATTAATGACATTTATATAGTACGTTTATGTAAATGCCTCCATTGTACTTTACCCGCTATGCTTTAAACATCTCATTAAAACATTTGATTATGCTACGTGAAACAATAGATAGATTTCATTAACGCTAATTCACAAAAATATATACAGCACATATAAAACTTCTACTGGACGTGAGTATTCAACCCGCGTGATTATACGTAAGAATTATTATATAGAAAATGTCTTTTATTTTTTATTTTTAGAATAATGTTTTTTAACAAAATTTTTAGTGCCGTTTTCTTCTCTATGCAAATTTAAATTTACACGAACAGTTCTGCGTAGTGACGTTCTGCGTATAATAATATATTCTGCTCATACAAATAATTCTGCGTATATATAATAATATACATTTTAATCCTTTCAATAGTGTAATAAATAGCGGAAAAAGACGATAATTACACCGATCAACAAGTTAAGTAGATTGATCTGTAAGAAATGGAACAAATATGTACTTCAGCAGTGCACGGTTTGGTTTTTCCCTTTACATAACGTACATCATTTACATCTACACAAGCTCTACCCATATTTACGTTATTACCGCAAAGAAAAAACTTGTTCGCTGCAAAAAAATAATGAACAAGTTTTACTTTTCGAAGAGAAAATTCTATTTCTTGCGAAATACACGTGTACATTGAGCGGATAAATAACGTATGATAAATCGAATAAGTAGCAAAGTAGGAAAGAGTTCTCTAAATTTTATTCTTACCAGAATTAACTGATATATATCAAATTTGATATAAAGTAATGAACAAAGATATTTCTCTGGAAATATTTGTGTTCTATGAAACAATTGCTGTGTGTGAGTAGCGAGAGCGTGTGGTTTCTTGAGTCATTCAAGGAAATTGCGGAATGTCAAATCAATCATTCTGGAAATTTATTTTACGATAGGATGGAAAACATAAGCATCTTGACATTTTTGCTTAACAGTGAGTAAAAATTAAATTACCAAAATAGGTTGTAACAACAGGTTACAAGTTGTGTAATAACCATAAGATAATAAAAAGCTGTTATCTCTCAAATGGGTTTGGAAGTGTGCTTGATAAGAGGATGAAGCCTAATTGGAGTGTTTATGATTCCAACTAATAATTTGCAATTCAGAATTAAAATTCTAATGTGTCACATTGCCGGAAAAGCTGAACGAAGCGTAAAATGACAAAAAAAAACGGGCTTTACATTATAAACGGAAAGATTGTAAATTTTTAAAAACTTCGAAAAATTAATATTGTAAAAGAATTAGATACATATATATATTAATGTATATTAATTTTGTTAAATGCTTAAAAAAATAGATTAAACGATTATATGCACTAAATTTCAAATTTAATTATTAATTAAAATGTTTATATAAATTTTAGATTGCTTTTTAAATCGTGAATAAAGACTTGTTTTTTTCTGAATCAATTCAGACAGTAAAAAAACAGACAGTTTTTTTCAGTTTTACCAGGAAAAGTGGAAGAATTCGGGAATCTCTTGAAGCATATAGCTTCACCGCAAACGACCTCAACGTTGCACTCAGCTTCTCGTGTTAGTCGATGCAAAACTCGTTCTAGTACGCATATGCGTACATATGCACGCACACATAACCGCGTATCTGCTTCCGCGATACAGCCGACTAGAGACTGATGAACACGACAGATGGTCGACTGATGGGGAATGGAACATAATATAAAATCGGCAATTTTGTCTTGCGTCTCAATTCACTTTCGTGCATTCGTTAAAATTACTCCTACCTTCACAAAGCTTGTGAAACTGACATAGCGTGTGTGTTAATATATCTTTGCCGGGCGATAATACGGTTGCTACGATTGTCTGACAGATATCCATTGTGCTGTAATCCAGCTGGATGCAATGGCGTCGTCCGCGACCATGAAAGAAAACATTAAATCTCCGCCGGTGATATGCAAACAAGAAATGTATGAGCACTGGAAAAAGAACGCCCCGAAGATCATGTTTGGTGAACATCAACTTTCCATCGAAGTAAATGAAACCGGCGACTTCTTTCTCCAGAAGGCTAAGGAGGAATTGCGGGAGACGCCGGAAGTTGTCGCCGAAAGTATCAAGGAACTGAAAGACTTGCTTGCAGGTAGCAAAAGCTTAATTGTACCAAAAATGTAGTTGTCACTGTGTTGTTTCGACAAAATCGAGGTTTCAAATTATGGCGTTACAATAAGACCCTGATAGGAGTAAAAGTTAAAAAAACTTGGGAAGCTGTAAAAAATTGTAAATTAATAGAAGTACACATTTTTTCTATGTCGATTAAAAGTATATCTATTAAGTATGTCTATTACGTGTATCATTAAGTATATCTGTTAAGTATATATTTATCAAGTGTATCACATTTGTAATATTACACATTTTGTATATCTATTATATATATATATCTATTAAGTGCATTTAACACCTTGGTATAAAAAAATTAGATTTTATGATAAATATTAACATTATCTGTATGCATACACACACACACACACACACACACACACACACACACTTCAATTTTGTTCTGCAAAAAATCATGCTTCAGCGGTAAGCCTCAACAGAAGTGATCTTAAACTAATATGTTTTTTTTTTATTTATATCTACTTATCAGTTTACGGAGCAAATTTTGAAAAATAACATTTTGTAAAATAGGAGGAATTACAAATGAGTTACAAAATATCAAATTTAATCTTTTCACTGAAAAATCCGAGCTTGTAAAGTAAATAAATAAAAATGATTTTAAAATTTGCGGAAAGCCTCCGTGAACCGATAACTATAATCTTAATAAATAAAAAAATGTATTGATACTAAGTTCAGATCACTCTAATTGAGTTACCGTTGAAGCAAGATTCTTTTGCAGAACACAATTGAAATATACACAGTGATGTCAATATTTACTATAAAATTTAATTTTTTTATACTAAGATATTGTCAAATGTACTTAATAAACATGCGTAACAAAAAATTTATACTCCTATTAGTTTCCAACTTTTCACAACTCCCCAAATTTTTTTTCTAACTTTTGCTTCTGTTAAGGATCCTGTAACCCCTTAGCGCCAGTTTCACCAACATCGATTAACTGTAACCTTCGATTAAATTCACTCTTCATCTCTTTCTAACTGTCCCCCTCAAAAAGAGACGAAGAGTGAGTTTAATCGAAAATTACAGTTAATCGGAGATGGTAAAACCGGCCCTTAAGGAACAAAGAGTAAGATAAAAAGATGTAGTCGCGTGAACCAGTAATTATTCATCAAAACCAATTTTCCCGTGTGACGCTCCGTCAAGAGCCCGCCCGCACGATGTCCTTGTCGCTACTTTCTTTCTGAGTTCTCCTATTCGTTTTTCATTTTCCGACCGGTTTTCTGAAGAAAGCGTCCACGAAAATAAAATGTTATCATTCTCGATATCCTTTTTTTTTCTTCATCTTCGGCTAATATTGACTTCTCTCACTAAAATTACTATTGCTCAATTAGAGAAACGTACGGTACTATTAAAACAAGTTGCGTTAGATTCCGTGTTTATAAAAATTAAAGAGAAACTCAAAATAATTAATCCGCGCAAGGAGGCGCGATGACAAGTGGAATAAGAACATTTTCCCTTTTATGTAATTACCAATAAAATACGATATTTTAGCAAGTATCTGCTCAATTAGATAAAAGAGTGTCGTGTCATCGAAAATCATGCAATTCGCAAAATAAGGATCTATTAATTTTTTTATTCCTCGAAGAACGTATTCCTTTTTTTGTTTGCTCGAAGAACGTCAGTCGACGATAAATCGAATAATCTTTATAGAGCTAGAACGAAATTTTGCGTGCAATTACCGTTCATGTCGTAACGGTCAATTTAACAATGGTAAAAGTATATATACGTCGTACGCGGCGTATGAATTCAGCCATGCTCACACGAATCGGGTAAAAACGAAAGTTGCTCGCGCCTGTATCGTAATAATCTTTAACGGAGTCACGCTTCTTGCCTACGGGCGAGTCATATGAAAATTATTTCGCTACAAATAAAAATTTAAAATTTTTTCAGAACACTTGATAATTCCTAGCATGACCGGAATATAATGACGTTTCTTGCGTATTGACCGATATTTTAAGAGTTGATTTTTGAGGTTATTTTGTTAAGCGAAATTCATATGAATATATGCACAGAAATAAAGAAGTGTTAAATCAAGACTTATATTTTTATATATAAGCAAGAATCTATAATCTTCTTATAAGAATTCCAACTTTTTTTTCTTGATTAAACTATATAAATACTTTGACGCTATATGCATCAGAATATTTTTATGCATAAATTAAATCGAATCGATTTAATTAGGTGTAGGGGAGGGGATTTTACTACTCCAACCGGAGCTGTGTTTCAAGTCTGACAAATTTTAGTCAACGCGCAGTCAAGGTTGGAAGATATGTAAAATAGAAATAAAAATAAAACTTTCCATTCAAACAAGTTTTTTTTGTTCGACGCAATTTATATCTCATTTATATCTCTTTTAAGATTATAGATTCTTGCTTATATATAAGAATATAAGTCTTGATTTAACACTTCTTTTTTCTTCTGTGTGCGGTCTCTCAAAGTTAAAAATTCTTAAAAAATATCCTAATGTAATAATATAATATAATAACATTATTTTTGAACGAAATACCGTTACCTTGAATATGATTAGTTTTAGATGTCTATATAATTACTAGAACTTCGTTCTTGCGCAATCATCATTGTCGTTACGATTTGCGATTATCATGATATGACAAAGTAAATCTCTCACAAGAGAAATTGATGTTTATACTTACATCAATTCTGCATTGCCATCAGTTTCGGGCCTTTGACCTTTAGGAGCATATATAGAAGAAAAACCGGAAAGGAATATAATATTTAAAAGTTAGATAATCGCGTATCTATTATTGTGTTTGTAAATTGCTTTGCCTTATAGAAAGAAACGCGAGGTATATTTTATATATTTGATAAAATGCCATTGTGCCGTGCCATTATTATTATACTCCAGTCTTTGCATTTTATCCTTGACCCACTTTTCCGTTGGTTTTGTTAGCATAAACTACATGCGAAATATCTCGTGCACACACTGCAGAATTGAAACAATTAATTTTTCATTAAATTGTTATCTCCATCCTTTGTTTCGCTTCTTTAGGAGAACCTGATCTGCACTTACCGGACATGGAAGACTTCTATGTAACATTCTTGCGCCCATGCAAATGGTATGCGAAAAGCGCTTTCTCGCTAGTAAGTCATATTTCGTAATATCTTCAAATCACGATTTCATCTCGTTTTAAATTTATATATGCTTGCGTACATGAAACCAACTGTATAGTAATGAAATGTTCAGTATGTTATATTATAGTCCTAAAACAATCGGATGTGCTATACAGATTTTCTGGCTATGTTTGCATTATATTCTTTTCCTGAATATTAAGCTAGATAGTTTTTGTCTACTATATTATACTTTCACTGCCAAGCGGAATAAAAAAAAATACGCCCTCAGGTCAAGGCTGTTTTTTGACTGGTTGTTTTATTGTCGATTCTAAAGACAATAATTATAGTTAGATTTTATATATAAGATTGTTTCAAAGTCTTTAGACGCTATGTCGCTATACGACTATGTTGCATTTATGCTTTTCCATTTTCTTTTTGTTCTCTTTTTACAGCTTTAACCTGATTATTCATGGTATCATTTGCACCTGGCTTGCGTGATTAGGTTCTGGGCGTATCGTAAATGATACACGTGCCAGAGAGAGTGTTAAACTACTAAATATTATCTACTGTATTAACTACTGGATATAAAAAGCGAACTGAATTGCAGGGAAGAAAGCAAATAAAAAAAAATAATCTTTAGTTAATTATCCAGTAAGCAAAATGATAGCAGTATGTTGGCAGATTGTTAGTAACACATGCGATCAGACATGTCGGCAGACATATATCAACTGCGTCCACATTCAGTTCGCTAATGTTCTGCAAACAGACTCTGTTATACTTCTGTGTTGGCGTTCTGTCGACATTATATAATATAGAGTGTAACTAAAATAAGGGAAACTTCGGGAACGAGCTTCTTATCAAAACATGAAAAAAAGTTCATATCAACATATATCCGTAAACCCACTGTTACTGTGATACAGCCCAAAATGTTTTATATAAATAAAATGTTTACAAATTCACTATTTACAATCGGAGCGATTGCTTATCGGTACTTGTCTAACTTATTTATTTATTTGCTCTGTGACTATTTTCTTGTACAACTATGTAATGCATTGCACGCACGGCGTTTGCCTTCCTCCAACATTTTTGAAAAAGCATTGTGCGTGTTGGAATGTATCTTTTATAAAGTGTGCATAGTGTGAGATAAGCCTCTGTTTCTACGAACAAATATCATCCGAATAATTGTAACCGATCTGTAGTGTTGATGATAGTGATGACGAGGACAAATAAAAGTTTTGGCACAAGAATTTTTCGCATTTACTTGTAATTTTGTATCTTAAATTATATAACTATATTCAAATAATGGTATTTTATTTTATATCGCTTTATTTTGTATCGTGTCGAATGTAAAACATGATAAGGTTATAAGTTGAATAAAAATTATTTCCAGTTTCGTTTGTAAGTTAAAAAAAATTGCCTTTCAAAAGTGCAAATTTAAAAGAGAAAAAATTGTTGGTTACATTAACTTTATTTTACACGAATAAACATTGCTAGGTTACATAAAAAAAATTTAAAAAAAGTGCGAGGGACAAGAATTGAACTCGGGTCGGCAGCGTAGTAGTCGTGCGCTTACAATTTTTTTTTTAAACGAGAATATATGATTTTCTATAAATATAACAAAGTTACAGAATATTTACATTTGTAATGCCTACCTTAGCGCTTACAATTAGTGCCCCGAGCTACACCGCCTTCTCGGTAATCGACATAACGGAGCCGGTACACGACATATCGTTCAAATCGATTTTTCTGAGAAATGGCTGAGCATTGCGCTCTATCCCTTTGCTCAAGGGAATACTATATATAAAACCTTTTTCAATTCGGTGACCCCAGGTCCGCGGCCTTCCCTTGTCAGTAACAGCGAGTTTGCGGATATATATTGATATGAACTTTTTCATGTTTTGGTGTGGGAAGCTCGCCTTTGAAGATTGTCCCCTTATTTTAGTTATACCCTGTATATCAGAACCGGCATCAAATCTGTAATCTTTATGCCGATAAAATTTGTAGCAGATTACGTTACAAGATCTAATGCTTTCGACAGACTTGGCTGTGTCTGGGTATAATAAGATTTATAGTAGTAATCCAAATTGTATTTGAAAATTAATTTAAAGCTGTCTTATGATGATATTCAATGTTAAAAATTGGAAAGATGCGCTATATAAATTAATAATTCTCCTCGACGTTTTTTGCAAAGAAAGAATCACTTTCAAATTGGCCGAAGTTGAGGCTAAAACCGAAAATCATCCGATTGATTCTAGGGCATTCTGCGTTTAATACAGAATTTGACAATAACAATAAATTGTTCAAACATTTTACTTAACAGATAAAACGGTATTATCGATTCCGCCAAAACTACCCACACATATATAAAGATTTGTTGCTCACCAAAGAGAAGACTGCACTTTGCGCTGGTTTGATATATCCATTGCCGCTTCGTACCAAAGAGGGATGCAGAGTGTTGGTAGTCGAGGCCGGAAAACGGTGGAAACCGAAAGAGGTGTCGCTCAATGATTTCTTTAAAGGCCTGATATTCATTTGTTTTCTGGCGATGGTGGAATATAGAACTCAGGTTCGTCGGCGGAAAATATTTCTTTAATTGATTTTCTTCTGAAGATATAGATAAATATTTAAAATTAGTCATAAACTTATTTAGCGAGAAATTTGTGAGAATCTCTAGAGCGCTCCATGAAGAAATGCGCGAAGCCGTTAACGCGCTTAACCGCGAAATCTTTATTTTGTTTCTTAGATCGCGGGTACGCATATCATTTTAGACGTCGAAGGTTTATCTCTTTCCCATCTGACGTATCTCACACCGACCTTTGCCAAGATGCTGGTAGATTTTATACAGAAGTGTTTGCCCACTCGTCTCAAGGGTATCCACATTGTGAATCAGAGTTTTATCTTCAACATGGGATATGCGATTTTCAAACCATTTCTGGATGTACGATCTTATATAATTTAGTTTTATAAGTTGCATAACAATAAACTTGTAGTGTATATTTTATAACTTTTTGAAACTTTTTAAAATCTTCATAACGTGACGCGTTGTATATCGCAGGAGAAGATTCGTAAACGGCTTCACTTTCACGGAACAAACTGGGACTCCTTAAAATCTTTCATAGATAAAAGATCACTGCTTAGAAGGCATGGGGGCGAGATAAAAATGCCCGAAGGAGAATACGGGGTGATGCTGTGGCAGAATATGCTTTCATGCGAACCCGCTTTCGAAGGTAATTATATATATATAAACTAACGTTTCACTTGTGATTTAAATCGTATATCGATAAAATTTTTATTTTGTTTCAGCTGATCAACATTATGGATACATAACTAATAAAGATATATGATCGCTGCAGCTATTGTCCGGTCAATACATCATCATTATCGATTATTACGGTTGTTCAACCATACGCATGAAGCTAATAGTAATAAATAAATAAAGTGCTCAAATTGTTGGCGTCCGGTACCTGACGAGATGCAACTCGCGGCTGTTACGTTGGCCTGAAATTCGCAATTGTGTGAAGAGGGAACCAAATTGTGATCCATTTAGAAGCAGCTTTTGTATTTAAAGGTGCAAATAATATATTGACGGCATCGATGAAAAGTGTTGCAGAACTGTAACACACACTTAGGGGAAGAATTATTTACAGAATCTTTTTTTCCCGAAAATTTCCAATTATACAATATTAAGTAGTATTCAATAAATAGAGAATTATGTGGATTAAAGTTAAGATACTGTTGATAATAATATAAAAACGTAAAAAATGAGAGAGAGATAGATAGATAGATACAGAGAGATTATAATTAAAAATATCCAAACCTATACTGCAATACTTTT